TTATGGGCTAGAGATCAGTTGGTAAAGCCTAGGCTATAAAATTGATTGGCTAGTTTCATGTTTATAAATATTGGGTATCTGTAAAACAGATAAAGACAGTCTTAATTTGTGATAACTTTCTTCTAAGAGCAAGGTAATTGTATTGTTTAATACTCTCTTGCCAAATTGTCTGCATTTTGAATCACCTGCATTTTGAGTCACCTGTGGAGTTTTAAAAACTGCTGATGCCTGTGTCCCACCCACAGAATCATGGTTTCGTTGACCTGGGCTGTGGTTAGGGCACTGGACGTTTTGGAATAACTCCAGGTGACTCTGGTGTGCACTTTTGAGAGTCACTATTACTAAGAAGAAATTCCTTGATCACTTTCATTCTCTGCCCCTTAACCATAATATTCAAAAGCAATTTCCTTCTATATTTAACTAAGAAATGTTATCTGTATAGTGAACAGTTTATTAAATCTTTTTTGTGTGCCTGCTAAGTTCCCAGCATTTATTACCTTATCATGGCAATAGCATGGCAACTTCACTAATTTTCAATACCAATAAATAACACCATGGAAGTCTACTTTTAGAAGGTAAGTGAATGCTGATATTAATCATGGTATAAATAGAATTCAAAAACTAAATTATTAATATCACTAACTGGTAGGATCTATAAAATCATTTAAATCTTTACCCAAGATATAAAATGTTATTAGCCACTCAATTTGTTAGAATCAGCTAGTATCATTTATTGTTCTTTAGACATTAGTCTCACAGATAGCAGTGCTCATTAATAGAATGTCCCTTAAGAGCAACACAACTTCCATGTGGGAACTGCCATGTCTGTATGAACTGTATGACTTCATTGTAATCAATGAAGTCAACATTTACTAAGCACTTCCCAGGCACTGCTCAAGCCAGTGGGTATCTACTCTTCTGAGATATAAACTGTAGTGGAGAAAAAAACTGCTGTTAACAAGAAGTAAACAGATAGATGGAAACAACATAGATAGATGATAGATAATAGATAGATATATGGATAGATATAGGTAGGTAGGTAGATAGATAGATAGATATTGAATTTCTTAAACAGATAAAAACTGCAAAAAATAATAAAGTAGGGTGAGGAGTTAAGGAATGCTAGAAGGTAGGGTGCGGAAGCTCAGTGACTTAAGAGTGTGGCCAAAGACTTCTCAGAGAAGGTGACCTCTGAACGACCTAAGTAAACAAAGAGGGGAAGCCATGCAATGATCAAGAGTAGCCAGGGCTTGGGAGCAGCCAGTGCAGAGGCTGGAAAGGGGAAGAAACTTTTATTCTTTGAAGAAGTAGCCGAAGGTAGATACAATAAATCGAAATGTCGATAGAGAATGATGGATGAGGTCAGAGAGAAAAGAAACAACTGAACAATAAACATAACACCAAATAGGCCACAGTAAGGATTGTTTTGTTGCTTTTGTTTTTTCTTGCTATATTTTTCCTGAGTCCTTGAAAGACTTTGGAGGTTTGCTTAGGAACTGAAATGACCCAATTTATGTTTAAAGACATAATTTTTGGCTGCCATATGAAGAGTAAATCCATATATATTCAAGGCAAGGTAAAAGCGGGAACACAGGTAGAAGTTCCAGCATCAGTCCAGGCAACAGTTGATGGTGAAGCAGAGGCAGCAGGTAGCAGGTAGATGGTGAGAGTTCTGATGCAGAAGACATGCTGATGTGATCACCAAAAAGGACTCACTGATGGACACATAACACCTACAGATATGTAACCAGAGGCACAATCCTAAAAGTCTCAGGTTTCTAGTTAAAGCTAGAATTAAAGCAATAATTAATTATCCTTATAGGAAAAGTGTTTCTTGTGTAACAGAGAAAATACCTGTATTCATATATCCACGCTATTCTTATAGAAAAACTACTTTTTAAAACCTGTTATCCTTTCTTTTAAAAAAGAAGATTTATTTATTTATTTGAAAGGCAGAGTTACAGAAGGAGAGAAAAGGACAGAGAGAGGGAAGAGAGAGCTTTTCCATCTGCTGGTTCACTCCCCAAGTGGCCACAATGGCCAGTGCTGGGTCTATAGTAAGCCAGGAGCCAAGAGCTTCTGGGTCTCCCAGGAGGGTGCCAAGGCCCAAGTACTTGGGCTATCTTCTGCTACTTCCCCAGGTGCATTAGCAGGAAGCCAAATTGGAAGTGGAGCATCAGGGACTCAAATCGGCATCCAAGTGGGTGCTGAATTTACCCGCTACATCACAGACTGACCTTATCCTATCTTTTCTTTTTTTTTTCCATAGAAACCTTTTATTTAAGGAATACAAACTTCATGCATTTCATAAGTACAACTTTAGGAATATTGTGATTCTTCCCATCATACCTGCCCTCCCATCCACACTCCCACCCCTCTTTCTCCTCCCTCTCCCATTCCCAGTCCCATTCTCCACTAAGATCCATTTTCAATTTTTCAATTAAGTCTCAGGCTGTGTCTTAAACTCTTGAAGAGCCAGAATCACTGAACTGATAGCTTTTGGTGAAACTACCTCTGTTAAATTATGGTAGGCATAGCAATTTAAAGTTACCTCTGTGATAAATAAGTTGATCAGAAATTATGTTTGAAATAGTGACAGTGGTGTTGCTGTTGCCTGCTTACCACTATGTCTAGATCAGGGATTCTTCCACTTGCAGGGATGTGAGGTTGAGAGAGTTCACTGTATCACCATCATATTGTTATTTTGCCCTTGTTCCCCCCTCCCTGTTTCAACCCACCCTACACCACACATCTCTTGACTAATCAACATCACTTTAGCATCTCATATAGATATGTGTTAGGTAGGGGAACAAGGTCTGGGTGGATAGTTTGAGTAGCAGTTCTATCTCTATGCTCGATGTTTTAGATCACAGTAAAGGACATAGACTTGTAGATTCAGGATATTGAATCTGAAATTTATCCACTGGAAATGAGTTGAAAGATTTGGGGCAACATTTTTAACCTTTTAGAGCCTCTTTGTGCTCATCTGTAAAATATAAGGATTCCTAACCTTAAGTGAGATTAACTGAGATAATGAATTTAAGGAATTTAATAAGGTACCAGAATATAGTAAATGCTCAAAAATGATAATAATGATAACTATAGGTTCATCTCCTCTGTATAACTTTACCCAGTAGTCTTAATATTTTCTTAATATTGTATTCTAATATCAAAGGAACTCAAGCCAGACTTCCTCGAGTTATATAACAGCTTTACCATATATAAACTTTGTGACCAGGGTCAGTGCTCTGGTGGCTCCCAGGCCTGATTTTGGCCTGGGAAAGCATTGGAAGATGATCCCAAGTGCTAAGGCCGCAGCACCCACATGTGAGATACGGAAGAGGCACCTGGCTTCAGATCAGTCCAGCTCTGGCCATTGTGGCCATTTGAGGAGTGAGCCAGTAGATGGAAGGCCTCTTCTGTCTTTCCCCTCTCTGCCTGTAACTGTACTTCTCAAGTAAATAAATAATCTTTTTTTTTTTTAAAAAAAAGAGGGTTAAAGAGCATAAAGTATATGAAAAACAAAGGCACGGTACTTGGCACATACTCATATAAGGGCTATTTTATAAGTCAACTACTATAAATAACACTCTCTCAATACCTCATTTCAAAATTATAGTTAAAAACTAAGGGACCACAGGCCGGTGCCGTGACTCACTAGGTTAATCATCTGCCTGCGGTGCCAGCAGCCCATATGGGCGCCGGGTTCTAGTCCTGGTTGCTCCTCTTCCAGTCCAGCTCTCTGCTGTGGCCCGGGAGTGCAGTGGAGGATGGCCCAAGTGCTTGGGCTCCTGCACCTGCATGGGAGACCAGGAGGAAGCACCTGTCTCCTGGCTTCAGATTGGTTCTGTGCCAGCTGTAACGGCCATTTGGGGAGTGAACCAATGGAAAGGAAGACCTTTCTCTCTGTCTCTCTCTGACTGTCTATAACTCTACCTGTCAAATTAAAAAAAAAAAAAAACTAAGGGACCCTGTCTAGCTTTTCTATTTTCATTTTTACAAGATCAGGTAAATTTACATAATCTGAAGGAATGAATTAAGTTGGTTGTTACTCTACCATCAGTCAAAGATAGAAGGAAGTTTAGATAGTATGCTTAGTTGATCCATGTACATAGGATACTGGTTTATCGAGAACCCCAAAATGGAACTTAGTTCTTCAGTTTGCCTGTCCAAGAAAGATTAAAATAACCAGATAACTGTCAGAAATATCCTTTCCTTCTGAACCATGCTACTATTTTTCCCTGACATTTCTTCCCTCCTGAATTTAATTTCTTTTCATTTTCTCAGCATGTGTTATTTCTGAAATCATCTCTTTTTTAGTCCTTCATAAAAACTTAATGCTAGCAATAAGTAAAATCTGCTCCTAAAAGTTGAATAGTTTAGGGCCGGCATTGTGCGTAAAGCCACCACCTGTGACACCAGCATCCCATGTGGGCACCAGTTTGAGTTCCAGTTGCCCCACTTCTGATCCAGCTTCTTGCTAATGTCTCTGGGAAAGCAGTGCAAGATGATCTAACTGTGTGGACCTCTGCACCCACTGGGAGACCTGGAAGAAGCTCCTGGCTCCTGACTTTGGCCTGGCCCACCCTCGCTGTTGTGGCCATTTGGAGTGAGAACCAGCAGATGAAAGCTCACTCTTTCTCTCTCTCCTCTCTCTCTCCCTCTTTCTGTCTTCCCTCTCTCTGTAACTCTGTCTTTCAAATAAACAAATAAATCTTTTATAAAAAAGTTGACTAGTTTAATTTTTAAGCAGAGCTTTTTGTTTATTTTCTATTAGTCCTTGATAATATTCTCAGTACTATTTCAAATTGGCATTCTAGCAAATAACTAATTCTTCAACACAAAGCCTATGGTGCTGAGGATGTCAAAGTGGTTTTTATTGTGTATTAATTAATGCTGATAACAGCACTTTTGTTGAAGATAATAGTCCATTGATAACACTAAGATCATAATATGAATTTTACCTTGATACATTAGAGAGGTTTTCTTTCCTTTTATAGCTGGATTAAGTCCTGCTGAGATTCAGCAGTTATGGAAGGAAGTGACTGGAGTTCACAGTATGGAAGACAACGGCATTAAACATGGAGGGCTAGACCTCACTACTAACAATTCCTCCTCAACTACCTCCTCCACCACTTCCAAAGCATCACCACCAATAACTCATCATTCCATAGTGAATGGACAGTCTTCAGTTCTAAATGCAAGGCGAGACAGGTAAATCTCGTGTACTGTGTTCTGTATTTATCACATTTTATTGTCACCATTGATGAAACCAAAATAGTAACTTAACAGGATCAAAAAATGTAGGACAACAAATTAAATGGAAATTGTTAGTTTATTTGTCTTATATATTAGGGGTACTTCAAAAAGATAGTGGAAATAAAAATTTAAAAGATGAATTTACTTTGGTGCTCATAAATTTCAAAATCTCTATTTGAGAGGTCTTCCAAAAGCTCATGAAAAATGCATAAATGAAAAAGAATTATGCATGAAATTTGTTTTTGCACCAAAATAAACTTACCTTTTAATTCCATTTTCCATGAACTGTTCAAAGTCCTCTTGTATTTGTTTTCATTCCAAATACCACCAGTTTGATGGATACAGTTGCTGAGTTTGACAGCAGAAATTTATTTTCATACATATATGTGGAATGATAGTTTCAATGCACTTTTATGACTTGAATGCTATTCCTAACATGATTGCTATGAACATTTTTAATTTTAAAATGTGTTTACTTAATTTCAGATAATTAAAGATACATACATAGCTTCCTTAATATATGTTTCAAACATGTGCTTAGAAATCAGAGAATAGAAACACATAACTACTTAAATAGAAACCAGAATATGGAAGACCCAGTTTGCCTTTTTTATTTGTGTGACACTATGGAATTTGTAAATAAACTTTTTCTGAATAAAGTTCACTAAAAACATATGCAGAAAAATCATTTGACTTCAGTTACCAATGTTAAATATATGATGTTGGGAAATTTTTCAGCTTACTGTTTATTTTAGTTCCACAAATACTGTCTTTGTAATAGGAGCATACAAGTAATTTTCTCCATTTAGTTCCATTTATTCAAGCATATCACTATAAAGTCTTTTAAAGTAAATTACATTAAATACTGTTCATAACAAAAATCTCTTCTTAAAATATGAACTATAAGTGTAGAATTACACAGTAGCTGTTACATACAGCTGTGTCATATGTAAGTGCAGTGTATTGATATTGTTCTGTTTGGTAATATGGATATCTACTATGCTGCAACAAATTCTTTGTCAAACAAATATCTTTTTAAAAATCTATATATTTAATTAAAATGTAGTTTAAAACAACATGCTGTAATTTTGTAATGTTCCCGCACCTTCATTTGATTATAATGGAAAATTTTTAATGTTAGCTTTTATTATTATAAAATAGTAATGTCTCTGAATGCTCTCATGCTGTTGTTTTAATTGAGATTAATTTGATGATTATGTATTTCAGAAGTTGGTTGATTTCTCTATTATCTGTATAACCAATATAATACTCACTTATCAAAAGTCTTTGATAATTATCCACAAATCTAGCCAATACATACTCTTCCTAAGTAAAATTTTTAATCAATTACAACTTGCAGAAATATGTATACTTCACACAAATCTACCCAGCAATTCCAGTGATCCTGAAGGTCCACTTCGTTTTAAAAAAAGAAAATTCCAAAAGTCTAACAGTGACTGTCGTATTATTTAAAGAACTGATTTTTTTTTCATTTGACCACATATGAATATCTATTTTTTATTTAGAGGTAAAATGTTATATTAAGGTCATATGGCAGGATTAGCATATGATATTATACAGTCCTCTTAGTTTTTCATCCTTTATTAACAGCCATCTTTGGCTCTATTTCTCCTCTAATTGGAATATCATCTAGCCTTGGCAGTTGAACTATTCAATAGAACGATTAAATTTTTCTGACTGCTCTGAGCTGAATTGACCTGTTTTGACCTGTTTGTCACTGATCGTAACCTGACAGGCGCTAGCAGCCTGCAACGATTATGGCTTTCTGAGATGAATCTGACGTTGTGTTCTCTTGCTGCAGCTCGTCACATGAGGAGACTGGGGCCTCTCACACTCTCTATGGCCATGGAGTTTGTAAATGGCCAGGCTGTGAAAGCATTTGTGAAGATTTTGGACAGTTTTTAAAGTAGGTTTTCTACAGTTTTGCTGGGGGAATGGACTGTGTGGGAGTGTTAGGCATATTGTTCTAAACATACAAGGGATAAAGGAAATAAAGATCTATTGTAATACACACTTCAGATTTTCTGTGTGTTCCAACAAGTGGATTTGCACGTCAGGCTGGGCTTATCATGTCATTTTCATCTTTTCATGAAAATATTTCACAAATCATTCAATAAAGGTTTTTGAATGAATAAAAAAGATTAGCTGACTATAACAGTATCATTAATCTTTAGGAGACATGTTAGTAAGATAGGAGTCTCTTCAAGTTCCAGTTTCTAGTGAAAATTTCAGGTAATGTTATGTGAGTAGTCACAAATATATGGAGTCATGTACATTTACTTAAATAGACATTTTGCAAGGTTATTTTTAAATGTAGATTTGATATCTCTAAATAAGTCTTTAAACATTAGGTATATATATCTAACAACAAGAATTTAAAAAAATTAAAGTGAATAGTGTCTGAAATTTACATAAATGACTACATTTCATTTACTATGTTACTGTTTGCCCTCAGAAATCTGAGGAAACCTACATGGCTGCCTATCTGTGTAACAGATTACATGGCTTCTCTTACTTAAAATCAAAACTTTGTGTATCCTTAATTTCTTTATACCAATTGTTTAATTCTTAATGGATTCTTTTTCAAGTGAGAATATTCATCTTTCATGAAACATCTTCCATGCACAATTCTGGTGTACAAGAGATCTAAACAGAGAGCTCCAGATAGGTTTATGGAGATAAGTAACTTCACCGGCTGAGACTCTTATGTTGTCATGGTGCAGCTAACAGGGTGAATGAACTGTTTCATGCTTCATCAACAATTAAGTTAATTAGCTCATTTGAAATTGCACTGCTTTGTTGCCAGGATGTTGGCAGAAACATCAAAAAGATGTGTTTACAAATGGTAGACTGACTACAGGGTATACAGCAAAAGCACCTTAACAGCAAGGCACAAGTACTTGGCATCATAGTAACTTTATTTAACTGAATTACTGTAAGACTTCCACAAAGGTGTTTTAATCTTTTATCATTTCTGAACAATTAAGAAAAAATTTGCTTCAGATGCTGCAATGACTCTTTGTAAATGGCCTTAAGTGAAATTTTGCCTTTCTTTTTTACCAAAACAATTCTGAGCTGTCATTTTGTTGGGTGTGAAACTGATTATACCATTGAAAACAAAACAAAGTATTAGAAAAATGTTAAGTAACTTTGCTAAAGTTTCTAATTAATGTTTGTGAAAAGAAAGAATGTAGGGATATCAATTACTTTTATAACTTATTTTCATATATCTTCACTTAAGTATATTAGCTTTATCAATGTATTATTTCTCATGATTGAAATTATTTACAGGACTATTGCTGCTATTTGTTAAAAATGGTGATCGAAGCCATAAGCCCACTCACCATGCATTTTCAGGTTCTAACTTATTGTTTCTAACAAAATTCAAAGTAAATATTTGGGAAAAAATAACATATCATTCCTTTATATGATTTCTTTTATGGCACATGGAGAGGAGCATTTTTATGCATCTCAGATATTTAGATTCTTTGTTACTAACAAGCAGATGAACATGAACCCTAATTTTAGTCTCTGTGGCCTTTTTTTCGTATTCATGCCTGTGTTTTTTAAAAATTTAAGAAATTGCAATTTAAAAAGGCATTTTCTTTCAATTAAATATCAACTTTGGTTCCAAAGACTGATGATTTTTCCAGTCCATTAACTTTATGGAGATGATAGACCTAATGACAGTAGATTTTAAGACCTTTGTTTTAGTCCATTTTTGTTGTGATAGGCTTAAGATTCTTTAACTAAAAGATCTGTTATAAATTATGTTAATAGAGCTAATGTCACTATATTGTATCAAAATTAACATTAGAATTACTTTTCATACTGGTGTCTCCTTTTTCTTTAAAAATATCTGAGAAAGTTGGGAGAAATAAAATATTTTATTAAATGACGTAACTTCAGTTGTTCAGGAGAAAATGTTTATTTGGTATCTGGGTAGACAGTGAGATGAAGAAAGCACCACCACTTACACAGATTTTCTAAGAGGACTCTGTTTATCTTTTATACTAATGAAGGGAACTGAGGTTTTGGAGGGAAAGCTGTCAGCCAAATAAAAAACCTGTGAAAGATTTTTTGGCCTCAGTTTTCTTGTTTCCACATTCTCACAAAAGTTTATATCGAATATTTATTTAAAAGTTTTTTAGAAAATTAAAAATTGGCATTTTTAATTCTGAAATACACTAGAAATAAATTTTACAGCCTCAGTTGTAATTCAGAATTAGATAACTTATCCATTGTTTGCAAAATAAATAAATAAATAAAAGGAAACCAACCAGTAGCAGTATTTAGCCTATATATGTTAAATAACAAGGGATAGTAGATACTAAGAATCCCAAATTCCCTTTTGCACATTACATCCCCAAACAGATTGGTCGAATTCCTTTATTTTTGCCAAATGAAAATACATCAGAGAACAATTGCTTATGTATAACATAGACATATTCTCATGTGTTACATACATTCATATTCTTATATACAGTCCTTAATATTCAAGTGAGGCATTCATTTCTATGGGGAAAATGCCTAAAATAGCAGCTGTCATTTATAACAGCAAGATGAAAATAGAAGTACTAGTGTACAGAATGAAGAAGGAAGTCCAGGCTAAGAACATTTAGGAAAATTTTGAACTTTAAAGTAGGTGTTAATAGAAGCTAACCATTTTTTTTGACCAGTAATTGAGGATCTCACTAGATCACTAAAAGCATGTAATACTAGTCCTTCATTACTGTCTTATAAATGTCAGAGTGTAATAGCATCTGACAAAACTTTAGTATAGTTTGTCTGCAAAATTAATTATCATTCCACTGGATCTACATCAGCTTGAATATAGTTGGAATGACTTTTAGAGCTTAAGCCAAAAGGTTTAAATATAGCATTCCAGTTAGCAGACAAGTGTTCTTGAACCTCTGTGTGCACATGCCAGCAAACACAACATGGTTGAGAGACAAGGAGGGAAATAGATGCATTCCTTTAAGAGAGGCAGATTGGTTAGTATCCATAAAATATCAGTATATTAAAGGTTGATTATTTGATGAACATAATTTAGTTTGCTACAAGCTGAATTTTTCAGGATTGATGCTGTATGCAGAGCAACATAAGCGGTAGTGGAAACAGAATAGTTTATTGAAGAAAAATTTGTTGTCCTTTCTTGCAGCTGACTACTCAAAAAATTATGCCCTTACTTAGTGTGTATTGTCTATTTCTTTGTCTTTGACTAGGCAGCATGGCTACAAAATTATGACCTCAAGAAGGCATTCTTTGAACTTGTCAGAATGTTGTTTCTTTTGGTGACAGTGCCCCCATCTCTCAAAACTAAGGCATCTCACATAATCAGCTAAATGAATAGTGACAGCTAACATTTTGTATTTAAACTCCTGTCAGTGTTTAAACATAAAAAGCTTGATGCAAAATAAATCACACACCAGTGATATGCAAGTGAAACATTTTGTTAAAATAGTCTCTGACATACTTGGATTTAAATCTGGTCCCTTTTTAGCGTATAAAATGCTAGAACTTTAAATGAATTTTAAAAATCTAGAGCTTTAAATTGAATTGCTAATCTGGTGTGTATATAATTGAAATTACCACATGCATTCATAACCATAAAAGCTCTGTTAAAGAGAATTGTGCAACAAATAAATTAGTAGGATCCTTTCCTACTTTTTATCATCCCCAAATGCTTGCTTAATTATTTTTAGAGAGAATTTGACTACCTATCTACATTTTTTTCCTAGTTCATACTACCTACCCAGCACCCAGATTCAATGCAGTTTTGAAAGAACGTCAGTCGACCACATCATTTATTCCATTTTGAAAACAAAAATCAATATACCTATAAAGTGACCCATAAATTAGAACTGGCTCACACAATGTTTGTTCAGTGCTGCCTTTCTGAAGGCACCCTTTGCATTTTTTCTTCACCTCTCTGTTTGAACTGCAGTCTCGGTAAGAGGCTCATTAGGGGACATTAGGGACTGGAGCTAACCAGAATTCCAGAGCTTGCTTTGCTCTTATTAATGCATAGTAGAGTAGAATGCATTTAAATATTTCATAGGCATTCAGTAATTTGTGTGTAATCGCCTTGTTAGCAGACCAGTAGAAGTAGAACAGGCCTGTGAAATGGTGTTAGTGATTGCATGGGTAATTTACAGACCTTTGCCATCAGAAAAGAGTATTATTGTTGGCTAGTATGAAGCTGTGAAATAGAACTAGCAATAAGTAAAAAAAAAAGAAACTTAATAAAGGTTTTGTAACAAGCATCTTCAGGGATAACAACCCCACTTGGTCCTTTTGAAGCAGCCATAATTTATGACATAGGCAATATATCAAATGCATAAGATAGTATTATGGAGCATTCATATGAAAAGGGTATTTGCAACATTAGTTCCAACTTCCTGCAAGGGACATGATTAAATGATTAATGAAATGTCCCTTTGCATATGCATTTTGAAACAGCAATTAGGCACTGACGGAGAAAATCCACCAATCCTCTCATTTTTCAGTATTATCTCATTCTTGATTTATAAATCATAGAGAATTTTTGAACAGCAATATGTAGTACCTGAGATAGTTATAAAAACATAAAAGAGAATAATTTGGGCACAAAATAGTCATAAATACATAAATTCATAATTTAATGTTAATACTTAGCCTATTTATTTAGTCTTATTGCATTGTATTTATATCCGACACTATTTCTGTACTTTGATTGGCATAATTAAGTATGGGGAATGAATAGGCACTATTATTTTACATATCACTGGTAAACAATAGCGAGGAAAGGAGAAGGGAGATGTGGCAGAGGTATGTATGTGTTTTTCAAGTTCTCAGTAATCCACTGGAGGCTGTTCTATAAATGATCATTGAAGGGCTGCAAGCTAGCCTATAATTACAGGAAAGAAAGTGGCAGCTCTGGCATTTCATAACTATGTGTCCTCGAAAAGTGCTTTGTGAGTTTGTCACCAATGATAATTTAGATAGAGGCTCATTACTGAACATCACAACACTTTAAAAACCTTTCGCCTTCATACAGGAGAATAAAGGACTATTTTAATGGCAAGGTTCTTTTGTGTTCCACTGAAAAATTCAATCAAGACAAAACCTCATTGACTATTATTGTAGTCTACAGTCTCTATTCTAATAAAGGCTGCATAGATAAATTGAATAGGTCTCTAAGACCCAAGTACATAATGCAAACATTTTGTACATTTTTTTAGTTCTTTAAATATAAGATAATGATTATCACTGAGAAGTAAACAACCGTAAAAAATGTTTAAAATGATTTCATATAAAAATAAACATACCACACTGAATATACTTTTTCTTCTGAAAGTGTACATTATATTTGTCTGACTTGCTCTGTTTGCACCCTCATCTTTGTAGCTGAAGCATTTTTAAAAATATACATCCTTTAGATTGATTTGAGGGAAATTATGTGTGTGTTACTGAAGAGTTCATAGTGAAAAACAAAACTCACAAAAAGCAATATTAAACCTTAAGAGTACACACAGCGAAGTATTATATTACGCCGATAGAAAATTGTCTCATTGTTCATTAACATTTGGAAAGAAAACCCTGGAAACCAGTCTGTACATGTTGTTTGTTGTCCTGGTAATGAGAATCTGGTGACACACCATGGCTGACCTCTGGTTAACTCCAACATCAGTTTTAGTCCTCATCACAGTTAGGTTCAGAGCAGAAACCATCAGAGCTGAGCTGAGCTTAGAGCACTCAGGTGTAGTGGACAAGCCCCTGCCACACTCTAGCCACACACCTCCAACCTGCCCACCTCACTATTTTAGTCCACAGCTTCTTGTCAGCCAACAGCAATCTCAGCCAGTAGTGCTGAGATACCAGGTTTTGTTGTTATGATTAGTGAGGAGGTATTAAAACAAACTGGATTGATTTATCAAGGTTTGGGGCAGAATGGAAGAAATGCTTCTGACTGCTGAATTCTAGACCTACTAACAAATACACCTAACTGTTTATAAATTAGTTCCTCCACAGCAACATCAATCTGATTTCTTCCCTATGTGTATTTCATCTACGTCTGTCTAGATATTTTTGTCTGCTTCATTTCTTAACTTCAAAAATACAAGCAAATAATTGCAATGGGTATAAAATAGCTGTTGAATTCAGTATACTCAGGGCCATAATAACTCCTTAGACTATTTGCCATTCCAAATGATACTTGAGCCCACATGGGTAGTTATATAAATTATTATTTAATTTTCTGAATATGCCTTTCTACATATATGAAGGAATGGTAAAAATATCTCTTAAATTGCTTCTTTAGTTTGTCCATTGGCAAAACAGATGCACCAAAGAATGTTGAATTACTTGAAGATTGCTTTTTTAATTTTGAAAGGTTTTGAATAAATTATATATTACAGATTACAAAGTGCCTATTATCAAATATTTTCACATTCATCAGAGATGCTACTCTACTAAATTGCTTTTGGTGTATTAACATACCACTCATTAAAGAGATCTCTGCAGACATTATGTAATGATAATAATAATAGATGAACACATATTCAAGATTAGGGTAAGATCATTAAGACGTCTTATCATTCCCCATTTCTGTATAAGTTTAGGACAGATGTCTCCCAATGAGGACTCTAGACATGCAGTGTCAGTCTTATGATTTCTGTTGATGGGAATCTTCAATACAGTTTACTACTGACAGTAAATTATCATTCTTCATGACCATTGATGTTTCCATGGGATAGTAATTTGCCATCTCTACAGAATTCACATCTCTACAGAATTTCACATCCTGGTGAAATAAGGCATTGCTCACTAATAAACATCACAGAAACAACAAACTGTTTTAACAGAAATGGGATACAGAATTGCCTTTGTTCTCTTCAGAATTACTTTTGGTTCATACATTCATAAGGTATCCGTTTTCTTAAAAAAAAATGGCATCAGTGTTTGAAATACATCTAGTGATTTCTACTATTACTCTGTAAATGGTTTGGAGAAATATTTTTGTAATAACAGAAAAGCTTAGGGACCATGTCATTTTCTGCCATTTGAAGTGTCTCTTTATATCACATAAATAATTTTCACTAAACATGTAAGCTCATTTAACCTTTTTCTTTATAGTTTCAAAGATTCCATTTTGCTACTGCAGAGGAACAAGTGACTGCCGTGTGATGCTGTTTGGGTGGAGGGGATGCCACTGAGATAGGCAACCCTTAACATTCTGTTTTGTGTTTGTTTAGGCACCTTAATAATGAACATGCTTTGGATGACCGAAGCACTGCTCAGTGTCGAGTGCAAATGCAGGTGGTGCAACAGTTAGAAATACAGGTTTGTCAAATGCTCACTCCGTGGACGCCTTCCTCAGATTTCTGGTGTGGTAAAGCAAGTCTTGAACAGATCCTGCCTCTCTCAGACCACATCTTATTGTCTTCGGTAACACACTGACTAGTTAGATGAATTTTAGGTTATTTTTAACAATGAAAATGACTGATAACTCAGAATGGATAGCTGCAGACTAATGTACTTATCACTTGGACTTACACAGCCTTGGGGCCACATCGTATGCATGTGGATATCCCCAAACTGTCAAATCTAAGGATTTTCTAATACAGATTAGACCAAACCCCCAATTAGGTATGAATTTATTATAGATACAATTTTTACATGAGCGAATCTTGATTTTTTGTCTTTCATGAGATCTTATAGTGTAGCAAAAAGCCAGTC